AGTGCAACAGACCGTTGCTTGACACTGGAAGTCACAGCATTCTGAAAATGATCCTGACTTTATGCCTCCAAATGTCAACTACAAACTGTCTCATAAAATATTGTTCCCAAGCATGGAAGACTGGATCTTCCGAGACAAGGAAATATTAAGAGCGGATAGATATTGGTTCACAGATGGATCAAAAACACCTTCCGGTTCTGGTGCAGGTGTTTTCAGTCGCAGACCCAGTACAGAGATATCAATTTGCCTAGGAACCTATGCGACTGTATTTCAAGCGGAAATTTACGCTATTGAACTGTGTGTGGAGAGAATGGAAGAATCCAACGTCATACACAAGTCAATGAAAATATTCTTGGACAGTCAATCGGCGTTGAAAGCTCTTGGCTTCTACCGAGCAACGCCTAAATTGGCAGCAAATTGCCAAAAAACGGTTCTCCTCGATAGGAAGACTCAACAGATTGCCTCATTTCTGGATTCCTGGCCATACTGGCCTGAAAGGCAATGAGGCTGCTGACTCTCTTGCAAAGGAGAGTTGCTGTAAGGAGCTTCATCGGACCAGAACCTGTCATTGGCATCGCTTTAGGCTTGAAAAATCTGTTCAAAATCTGTTTTTCCGTTAATCAGCTGTCACCCTCATACGAACGACAACTCTCAGAAGTTGATAAACTTGTGCGAGGTCTTACCTTTTAACGTGTGATTCCTAACACGGTTGCAGAATCATCCCAGCTTCAAACAGATAAATTCTCCCGAGAAAAATATCTGGTCGAGGCAGGAATTGAACCCACGGCCTTCCGATCGTGAATCGGGCGCACTACCACCGCGGTCAATTCCACACAATTGCCAGACAAATATTGAAGATCTGGATGGCAAGAAGATTGAATTGACTCACTCCAATGCGTTTATTTACCCTCCGAAGCTTGATATCAACCAGTTGTTGGACTACAGCAGGGATGAACTACGATGTCTAACAGGCCTTCTTACAGGTCACTGTCATTTGAATCATCATATGCAGAGACTAGGACTATCGGAAGACAGTGTGTGTCGCCTCTGTTGGGAAAATGATGAAACAGCAGAGCACATACTTTGTGCCTGCCCCGCTGGCAACGAGTGTTGAAACATTAGCCCAAACTTTGACCAAGCAATTGACTATACATGGCATTTTTTTCGAGGTTATGAACCACATTTTGAAAAAAAAAATTGTCAAATTAATAATTTCATAAGCCCTCTTCACTTGAGGTGATACTCTAGATGAGAGGGTGAAGAGACAGTCGAAAAATACGCGCAGTAGGTATAGTTTCACTTCGAAATGGAAATTTAAATATTTAATTTGTCTAGATTATTTGCAGAAGTAATGATGACACTTTTAAAAATTCTCTGACTAATGATATATTGATTACAGTTATATCAAATGATGACACATTTCAATTGAATTCATGATCAATTTATTTGTTCAACTAATTATATAAATTGACAATGATGTAAAATTTTCATAAAACGATGGAACAAAGGATGAAAAGTAATGAGATATTGTATTATTTCAATGAATCATTTTCAGGAAGTTATTTCCTCCTGATGAATAAAATTCATCAGAACATAAACCAATTGCCCATTGTGCCATGAAGGTAATGCTCAGTTGCCCGAATGTATTTAAACTAACTGCATTCAACGAAGAGTTTGTCGGTAAAGGAGCCATTTAGAAAGTTTCCAATATCTACCTTTCATGAATAAATATGAAAAATCGAAAAAATACATCTATTTCTTTCCAAAGAAAACAGTGTCGAAGAATATTTATAGTTCTTGTGTTTCATCCCCTATGACACGAGTATATGTTGGGGGGTGGATATTCCAGATTCCCTTTATTGATGGTTATTTACGCTATACAAATAACCTACCTGCATACTTAAAGATTATGGGTTCAGTAGCTTCGGCTGTATTTTAATATAAAAGTCAGTCGAAAAATAGTTTTGAAGTTGAAAACCTGAAGTTTTGGGTTAATAAAAAAAATATTGTAACTATTTGTTCTTGTTCATATAGTGGCTACCACATAAGAGGTAGATATATGCTATAGCAAACTTTTATTTAGAACTATTTAAGATAAACAATCTTACAGTACATTATCTTCAGGTAATTCAAACCGTATAGGCAGCGGACGCCTATACGGCGCTCAGGGAGCAAGAATTTTTCCGACTTACTTAATACTTATCGTTAAATTATGACTAAAATACACAAAACCTACGTAAATTGTAGTCTATATGTTTTTCTGATGTATAAGCGGTATTTATGTAAAGCTTCATCTAAATCCGTTCAGTCGTTTAGGCGTGAAAGAGCTACAAACATACCTACATACATTTATCCATCCTACAAACTTTACGTTTATAATATTAGTATGGATAGATATAGATTTTGAACTTTCCTTTTCCAAACGTAACCAAGCTATTATTATCAGGAAGCGACTACAAAAGCAACTCTAATTAATGAGGTGTTTTGTAGTTGTTTCTTTCGGCGATGAGGTTAATTAAAGGAGTGATATCAAAAGTGTTCCTATTGATTATTATCATGTTAGTTTGTTGTATCCTAATGTTAATGGATAATGACCAATATTCACCTAGTTTCTGCTTATATTATAGCTAAGAGAGTAAACAGGCTGTTCGAGAAGGAACCTTTGATACTGTTAATAGATCTTTTTTCACTAGACGTTTAGAAGACTGTTGTCATGTGAGGGTTTGAACAATTTCAAGCCTATCTTATTTATTTTGTAGCCGTTCTCTAAGTCATGTTGAGCGATATTACACTTTTCTAGCATACGAATCTGAATATGTTAAACATATTGTTAGAAACGTGTTATGATAGTCCACTCAGTTTGTCCAATGTACTTTTTGTCGCAGAACTTACATCTTAGTTCGTGAATCCCATAATTTTGCTTTTTCGTCAACCTATTTTCCGAGTTGGCCAACACATGAAGTGTACAAATAATTTTGAACGCCACTTTCATGTTGAAATTTTAAATTTTAGGAAATACGGACCGATACATTAATATAGTTAGGTTTATATAAAAGAACTATAAACTAGTAAATGAGTGTCCTATAAAATATATTTGAAGCTTATAAGTTACTTTCATCTATTTCTTTTATAACTTTCTCTTGATGTCGTACGTCCTATATGGCGCGTGCGTTAGAATAACCCTGTCCTGAGGTATCACCCATGTAGGTGAGAGTCTCACCAAAGGAACCTTCGACATACCTGCATCCTTTCTTAGTAAAAAACAATGTCACGGAATGCGGGGCCTGTCCGTGATGAACTTTCCCTTCCTAACTACTTGTGAAATCTTTAATGGATCATGTAGTAACCAAAAAACTTCACGCCGAGTCTACAGAGGAGATTAGAGGCTGACTATATGACCTCCAATGTCATTTGCGTAACGTCGAATCAAGAGTTATCAGTTCTTCAACTCTTGATAACATCAACAAATATAGGAGTCTAGAAGATGTAAGCAGGAAGCGACGTTTCGCCTAATCAGGTGCAGGAAGGAATCTTCCTTGAAGCAATAAAAGTAGAATCTGCTTCAGGACAGGAAACAAAGTACCTCCGAGCAGATTAACAATCGCTTATGCCCTAACGATGTTTCACCCACACCAGAAATCAAAAAGCCCTGCACGGCTAAATCTTATATTAGTATAGCTGACATGCCGGTGCCCTTATATGGAAAGGCTACTGCGTTTATCAAGGTAAGAATCTTGCACCTTGAATATTCCACAACCTCATCTTCGACCAATCAACTGGAGTCTCTTTAGTATGTCATTATGGTTGACGTAGAGAATATTCCAGAAGATAATCCACAGGTTTCGATTCCAAAACTGCCCAATCCGGCCTGGATAGCTACAGGTTACCTGAGCGGGTCAGGAGAGCATTTCGTGGCTGAATGAGGCAGTTACCTACCTGAAGAATGCAGTCGCAGACTGATTGCCGATCTGGTCCTCACTGGATTTAGGAAAGGAAAATTTTGACTTGGAGTGGACTATCATTCAAAAGGGAATTCAGACCCTTTTAGCAGAGCACTGATAGAGTGACACTTGCCAGCTGACCTGAAAGATCACTTACCAACTAGTCTTCGTTGAGAAGCATGTTGCACATGAAGCATCGAACAGACCTATTTACTTTGGACCTATCTAACTACCTAAGGGGAACGTGACCATATTGCAGAGAAAAAATGTTTATTGTAGACCATAGTGGGAGCTGTCACATGGCTGATGGCCATGGCGCTCCCTAGATGGCTCGGGAAGCCACCTACCTAGAACAAAAAGCTAATAACCAAGCAGTCAATGCCGAGATGGTAATTTATACTCTTCCATTCACATACTTTTTTGTGAAGTCTGGGCTATGCCAAATTTGAAGAATTGTAGGGTTATTGATTATCAGTGAATTGGTGCTTCACATTGCCATTTTTGCACAGGAGTCTTCTTACTTTCATCAAATTTTCTCATCTTTATTTGTACTATTTGCCATCACAAATCAACATCATTGAAATACCTTCAATTTTCCTTATCAATACCAAGACAGTACGCTGCCGTCCGTTGCAGTGGGTGAACTTCAACATATTATCTTCTGTGAGCACATAACTGCTAGAAACTTTAGTAAACTTTTTGCCAAGGAGTACTGCCGGCGTGAAGTGGCTAGCAATCTTAGGAGAGCCTTTGACCGCGAGTACTTCTGCCAGCAGAGGGGAGCTGTTCCAAGGGAGTTCAACTCAGTATTCAAGAAGGAACGTTAGTCGTCATCGTCAGAAAAGTCTCAGTAAGTTTTTCGAGGTCATACTTGCTTTAAGTATTTATTATTCAAGTTACTAAGGTAAGTTTCCTTTGCCCACACCCAGAGCTAGTTTAGGGTTATAGAGGAGAATGTTTCGAAATTCAATTTCGAAATATTCATTTTCTAAATACTATTTGGATTTTTTGGTATTTGTGAACCTGATATTGTTGATAGAAAAAAAAAACTTTACTTACCTCAAAGCAGAAGCATTGTTGAGAGATTCGAATTCCTTCCCTGGCGGGGAGCATATTCCCTTAGAACTGTAAGAAACACTTCCAGAAACTTCCTCACTGGGTAAGTCTAAGTGAACATTTGCTGATTTTGGAACTGCCGCCATGTTTTTTCCTTCTTTTTGTCATAGATCTATGGAGCTGGGTTTTCTGATCTTACATCATTTGGTGAACATCTGGAACAAATAAAGAGAAACAGTTAGTTGATGTGAATGGTGGAATTTGAAAGTTAATAATCATAGGTCTGACTTTATATTCACCAACAGAATGCAAATATCATTTAATTAGAATCCATGAGTGCAATATTGGTGCTATAACAGAACCTGAAGATAAGAAGTTGAGAAAAAAGAAGAAATAAAATGGCATGAAAGAAACAAAACTTGAAATTTTAGAAAAGAAAAAGTTGTTGTGTTGAAAAATTAGAATAACAACAGCGAAGAATGAAGCAAATTTTAGGAAGCTCAACAGCTAGAAACGCACACAAGAAAAACTACTAAAATAACTAGAGCAACAAAAAATATGACCGGTAGAAATGATCACTTCTGCAATTATGTCAAATTTTCTATACACATATAAATAAATGATTAAATTCAGAAAGGTGGTTCAGAAAGTCTCACAAAACTTCAAGAAAAATGGCGATAGAGTTCATATATCCAGTAGAAGGTTGCAATGTTAGTGAAGAAACAACAAGAACTTTAACGGGTAAGCGGGAAAAAGTAAGAAATAAAGTCAAACCAACTATTTTGATAAACCACTCTTTAGCAGCATGCGCCATTTTTAAGGAATTTCCTTGCCGGATAACCAAGATTGAACCAGCATAAAACAATTACGATCTACGTTTTTTGGCATAATGAGATAAAACTTATTCCATATAGTCATAATTAACCATTTGTCAATAGGTCTAAAGCATCTACCATCGTTTCTCCTTTATTGAATAGAAGATAAGGTTATATAAATGCCAAATCAATCATTTCATAGATATATACAGATTTCAAACCGGTCGGCCGTCGTTTTCGGTTTCCAGCGTTTGCTCATGAAAAGGCGGTTAATGGTAACAAGTTTGAAATAATTTATGTATAATCCTTAAAGTGAAGCATAAAGGTGTTGTTTGGTAATAAGAAATACCACCAAGGAAGTGTATTTGTCATGATTTCGACCTGCCTCGGGTCTCTAGCCCGATGGATAAGGTCCTTTTTGAAAGGCAGAACATTTCGAATCAGGGTTGAAGGAGCCCTGTCCTCCAACAAGCACTCCAAGCTGGAGTGCCCAGGGAGTTGTGGTGTCTTCACTAATTTACAGCCTCTACATGAGAAATGTAGAGGCTGTAGTTGTAGAGGCTGTAGTTGGGGGTCGTCTACATGAAAAGTACATTGGATGATCTCAAACGCTGGTACCTTGACTGGAAGATCCGAGTGAACCTAGACAAAAGTCAAGCAATAGATTCGGGAAGACGTAACGTTTCTTCTAGCACGAGGATAACGATCTCAGGCAGGGAGATCGAATGGTAGACTCGAGTCAAGTTGACAAACCGTCAACTCACCTGGGTACACCACATTAAGAACATCAAGAGCAAAATTCAAACGAGGATAGCTCTATCCTCTGATTGATGAAAATCTAGGCTGAACCTTAAACATCAGGTTTTACGGTACAAAACGATGTTCAAGCCAGTCATCATGTATGTTTCAGGCATAGAGGTCATGAACCTTTATAACGTAACAAACCACCCCAAGTTATGAATCATTCGTCCTCCTGACGAAGATACGATGAAAAGGTAAGGGAGCCAGACTCCAACCTGATTCATATCAAGATGACTCGGTCGGAATGACTTCAGTTTCAAGTTCAGTTATCAAGCAGAGTATATAAATATGCTAAGAGTAATCTTTCCGAAACGTCGTGATGATGTCAAAAACGAATGAATGTCCACCCAGGGTGACACTTCATCATATATATTAATAAATGTGTGTGTTAATGAATGTATATGAATTTCTTGATATGTTTATACTTGTATTGAATTATGCTTGCCATCATATTTGTTTCATTATACAGTGCATTTCTTTAATGTCCCCCTCCCCTTTGATTTTTTGAACGGGTCAACTCAAAAAATTGATGATGAAATTAATGCATAAACACTTTATTTTGAAGTGAAATTGACAGATGAAACTTTCAAGATGGCGACTAGGCGCCATCTGGGAAAAAAATTAAATGGAAAGGGAGGTCTTGTGAAACATATTTTCGAAGCTCCTGACAAATGCCTCACAACCCTAGAATATAATGTCAATATCTTCAACTACTACAAAATGGCGGAACTTTTGATAATTAAAATCTGTTTAAAATCTGTTTTTACGTTAACCAGCTGTCGCACCCCTACGAACGACAACCCTCAGAAGTAGAAACTTGTGCGAGCTAAGGATTAACGAGGTCTTACCTTTTAACGTGTGATTCCTAACACGGGTTGGACGGTAGCAAGTGAAGATCGATCGTTCAGACTAGGGCTTGAACCACCGACCAACACGGCAGTCAATTCGAGTGAGTGAACAAAGCACCCACGCCGAACCGCTTGGCTACCGACTGACCAAATTGCCTCAATACATTGACATTTAACTTCAAATATAAGGTAATGAGCTTGAGGTCACAGCCTATCCGATATTTCACGCTGAACATTTTCGAACACAGTAACGTCAAAATCTCTACAAACATTCATTATTCTCTGCCAAATATCAATTTTTTGAGTTGACCCGTTCAAAAAATAAAAGGGGAGGTGGACATTAAAAAAATGCACTGTATATTGTAATTTCGTATTACTGTTTGTAATGAAATTCTGAAAGAAATATTATTTTGATTATTATAATTGAGTAGTTTTCTTCAATAGGGCCGATAACCTAGGATGGTTCTTTGAGGCATTCGTTTCATGTCTTCCTAAAGATAGGTGGAAGACCGAGGCCATCAAGTTGTCTATATCGGGAACAATCTTTTTGACATCTATGTTGTTCATATTGGAAAATTAAAAAAAGTTAGCATACATTTCATGTCGAGCATTTATTTTAATCAACATGTTATTAGGAAATTGATATTCAACGTAATTTTCACGAGCTGTTCAGAGTAATAATATAAAACGCTGTTGTCTTTCAAATGACCTCACCTGATGGTTTGTGAATTTATTACGCAACAGCGAGTATCAAAAATAAAATCGCTTCTTTTTTATCATCTGGTAATTGTACACTACGAACATGTTATTATTTTCGACGTTATCTCTAATGACATAAATGTCCAGTATGGCAGAAAAGGAATCGTGTATCCGATTTTGAATGAAACATGAGTTTACATAAGGAGATTTTTTCTTGTTTCAAGGTTCAATTGGATATCTTGATATCGTCTGCTATGGTCTGTAGTAAGAGGTGGAGAGGTGGAGTTTTCACTTAAATTTGAATTATTTGGTGAAATATTGATTTACGTTTATATCTACAGATTGGATCTCTTAAAACACGATTGAAAATACATCTTTCGTTTCATTGAAGACATGGTTATTTTGAATTTGTTTAAAAGATGTTATATCTTGGTGTCTTAACAACTAATGTAAGGTAAATATGACAGATATATATGTTTTTTGACTAGTTTGTACTAGTTCATTGGAAAATTATCTAGGAAATTGGAAGATAATGAGTTGAAAATAATATTCAAATTGATGCTTAGCTTGTCGGTTTGTCGATTCATACATTGAAATCAAAAAGCAACCTGAAAGTGGTTGTCTCTCAGCGTACTTGAAAATGTAACAATGAATTTGCTTAGATATTTTGTGGATTCATTAACTGGTCTCACAAAAAGGGTGATTTTTCATCTTTTCGAAAGATGACTCGAGTTCATTGTATATCCAAAATGAACAAGAAATATCGTCCAATCAACTAGACGATTTACTTCACGATCACTAATACCTATTTAAAATAATGCAGTAGCCATTACATGTGAAATTACATCCTTGCATATTTGGGATGGTTCCACATCAATCATCAATATGCTGAACACCACCTAAACACCAATTCTGGTGTTTGAGGACAGTGCTTGTTATGGATTTATCTAACGATAGTTGTACACAGACCGATTTTGGACGGCCGATTTTATACCGGTCGTCCAAATTCTAATAGTGAACCACATGTGGGTACGGGACCTGGCACACACGCCGACCGGTGATCAGCATCGATCACCGGTAGATATGTGTGCAAGGTCCAGTTTCTACATGTGGTTCACTATTGGAATTTGGACGACCGGTATAAAATCGGCCGTCCACAATCGGTGTGTGTGCAATTAGCCTAACGCCAGAGTATTCAGTTATATCTTTCATCCGATGTTATGGCGTGTCAGTTCGCCTTCGTTTCTAGCCCCTCCAGATTTCTCAGGGCCGTTTCTATGGCAGCAGCCATTGATGACTCTCTCCTTGAACAACCTCAACAATGACGTTAGTGTACCCCCACGAATATATATTTTATGTAACCCTTTTTCTATTATATATCAAGTGTGGGGGTACCAAAATATCTGTTATGAAACCAGATTGAAAAATGAGTCGATAGAAATCATAAAAAGTACTTGGAAAACATACCAGGGGAACACACATGGAAAAACCTTTATGGAAAGAATCGAAGAACTCCTTCGAAAGAGCAAGGGTCGGCTCGGAACCATTACATAGCTACTCACCTGACACTGTCAATCAAAAAGAGACCTGAACACAATAGGGCTGTACAACGGAGACCATAGCTGCAAGCAATGCAACAAAAGAACAGAAACATGTTTCACAAGAAAGGGGTTTTTCCTTTCTGTTGGAAGATTGCTCGTGTTCAGCCTATTTCCAAAAAGGGCAAGAAAAATATTTGAAGTAACTATAGGTATTAGTCTCTTTGCTTTCAGTGATATCACAAACCATAGAGAAAGCAGTAAACCACCATATCAATATGGCTTTCGCAAACAAAGATTAACAGGCGACCCATATTTGAAATAACGCAATCATGAAACATGGAGAGTCAAGAACTGTTGCCCTTGATATCTGTAAGGCCTTTGGCCGTGTATGGCATGAGGATTTGCTGGCCAAACTTCGATGCTATGGCTTGTCGAATCATTTTGTGTATGGGCGCCGTCCGGGAAACGAAATTAAATAGAAAGGGAAGTCTTGTGACACATATTTTTGAAG